CTGCAACCTTTTTATTGTTCTATATTCATCCTCTCTGCTCCAACCCAGATGCATTTATAATCTTCAGTCCAAACATGAACAACAATAAATAATATATTGGGTTTTTGTTTGTTCAATTGTTAGTCCTARAAAAACTTTAATCTGGTTTTAGTCATTATCAGTGAACGAATTACAATGTGACTCATGATAACACCATTTTATAGTTATCATATTTCAGAAATAACACACAATACATAATTTTATCTGTCCCATATTGAATGTGAAGTGTGAGCTTCTTGGTTGTTATATGAACGTGTACAAATAAATACAAACAAAATGTACTCTGCATCTATAAAGTTTACAACAAATAAAAAAATGGAAGTCTTAGGTTTTTGAACATAGAAATATTAGTAGCACGAATCATGATCACATAACTCGGACAAAAGGATTCACAATTGACATCAACTGCGACCATCAAAAATTACACAAACGAAAAGATAAAAACCTTAGGATCAAGCTCTTGGTCTCCTCCTGAATCAACAACACACCCTTTGATCTTCTCCAGCAGRTCTRGTCTACCCTRCAATCTRTTGATATGTTGACAGGTTTTGTGTACAATGTTTTCRTTATAAATGCATGATAATATGSTAYCATGTATTTCATGAMAATTGATTGTTTTAACCTGCTTATCGATAGATCCTTATGAATCTGATTTGGGCTCTTTTTAGTGATTAATATTTGTTTTTACATTGTTGTTTTGAAGTCTTTATAGGAATCCCACTGGTGTTATATGTGATTTTGTTTCAGTCATGCATGTATGTTTCATAAGATATTTGCCATTCATCTTTAGTTGTAATCTTTGTGTCCATGTACATGATTCAGAGCAGTTTTATTTGATACGTCCAGTTTTCAACTGATTAGAATATGCATTTCTTTACATTTCCAAATGATCATGAGAAAGTTTTTAAAAGTTATTTTTATGGTGACATATGCAGAGCCTTGTGGACTTGCAGTTTTCAACTAATTACAATATTGGGTGGTTTAGTCATCTTCACTTGTTTATTTGATCCATATTTTTCAATCTATTTCAAGGTTCGTCTATTTATTCTTCAATTTTGGTTCGATTTCTTCAAATTGAAAGGAAGTAGGTGTACCTCCTTGAAATAGATGCATGGTAAGGATGGCCATGTAATAAAAAATAAGCAAGAATCATTGTATGTGACTACATTTATGCATGTGCTCTAGAAGAACAGAAGCATATACATAGAAAATCACACAGACAAGAAACAGGTATATGCCTGCGTAATCTTGGTAACTTTGACGCAACTCTGAGATGACTTTTACTTGAGAATATTGATTAAGCCATTCAACAATGAATTTATCGAGATCACGAGTCTCTTTTTTGATCCCAATGAAGATCTTCCTCCTCAGCAGTAGTACGCCATTGTCTTTTGCATCCTGTAGTTCCAAAAACTCAKAAAGAATCTGATTTAGCTTGKCAAACACTTTCTSTCTTATTTCTGCTTCCTGCTGTTTACAATCTTGGGGTGTAACTACATCTCCTGAAAGTGAAATTTGACGAGAAAATGGTGTGGGAATTGTAGATTGAGGCACTGTTCGAACCTCATATTTTCTGGAACGTTTCTCATGACAAAATAACTAAGGATCTGTCAACAAAATTTAGGTGTCGTTTACCAAACGCTTACCCGGGTAAGCTCTTACCAAGTCATTTTACTTTACCGGATGAATATGGTAAGGGCTAATAATCTTACCCGGTAAGAGCGAAGGCAAGAATCGAGAGTCTTACCCGTTAAGTAAAGACGAGGACTCTTACCATGGTTAGCGCTTACCAGGATAAATTGTTGCATACGAGGTGTTTTAGTGAATAAAATCTTACCCGGTATGTAAGCGATAGTATTAAATTTTACCGGTAAGTGCTTACCGGGTAAGTATTTAGGTAAACGACCCCTTATTCACGGGGCTGAGAGTTCACGCTTGAATATGTTTTCAAGTTTTGAGAATTGATGAAATGCAAGGTGGCTGTAGATGTATGAAAAAAGGAGGAAAGAAAATATATTTTTGATGAGGTTGAGGATGTACAAGGCTTGGATATATATAGCAGGCATAAAAAGGCAAGAAGCAGTCAATTCATATTTTGAAAACTTCAATAATTAAAGCCATCAAAATTTTCGATGTTGAGGTTGGAGGAGACGTTAAAAGAAACAAGAATTATGTTTTGTGGACAGGATGAGGTTTCTATCTTTGTCCAACAATATAGTATATTAGGTAATGAAAATCTACCTTTTGAATATGTTTGTAATTTGTTAATTCTGTTTTTTGATGATCGAGAAAGTTTTCGATTAATTGGATTTGGGTTCTATTTTTTAAAATTTTTATGGTTTTTTATCTTAACTTTAGGTGTAATTGTTGTTCAATGTCAATACAACTCAAAGAATGCATATAAGACTGATAAAAATGACAAGAGAGATATGAATCATATTTGGGCCCTCATAAAAAAAAGAAAAAGAAAATAACAATAGTAAAATGGTCATTTAAATCATTCAAACATTTCATTCAGTACAATAAACAAACATTGATTCATATACATTTATCCAAACAACATAATTTATGAATATAATTTAATCCATACAAATTTTAATAGAAAAACAAGCAATCAACCCTTAGCAAATTGTCTTATTGACCTGTTTGTTTTAACAGGAATTTGAATATACATTTTTCAAAGTGGGTGTATCAAATCTTTAGTTAATTAAATTATGAGGTCTACGTTCATAACTGAAAAGAAATGGTAATACAAACTAAAATTAAAATGTAGTAATCTTATGGACCAAAAATTAACACATCCATTTTGTTTGTAGTGATGATGAACGAGTAAATAGTTAAGTTTTAACATCAAAATTTTTAGAAAAGAAATAATGTTGCATTCTCTATCGGAGGCATTCACGCCTATTGTATATTTGAGCAAATGTGCTATGCCCCTTTGACAGTTGAGCTACACGTCTAAGGGTTTTTTGTTATCCATTTAAATTAATTTTAACACCTTACTCACCCGGTGCATTGCAAGAGCACATTATTATATTTAAATATGCAGTAATCTTTTGTGTTAATTCACATCCCGCCGCATTGCGCAGGTATCCAACTAGTATATATATATATATATATATATTAATGCACAGAACTTTCATTTTAGCATAATCAAATGTACCAAATTTATCATGTTATCACATAAACACATACTAAATGATCACGTATTAATTACCTTAAGTGATAACCAGGACCCAGTTATTACATTATGTAAGTTTTTTGTTAAATTAAAAAAATACTTTCTGAAAACTCTGCAAACAAATCAAAATAGTTAACACGTACAAACATCACCAATACAATTTAATATTATAATTTTTAGTAAACATATTTGATTAAATTTACAATGTTTAAATAATGAAAATATTAAAATTAAAAGTGCAATGTTGTAATAGAAATTTGTAATGTTATAATAAAGTAATTATATAAGTACAATGCTATAATAAGAAATATCACGTTAGCATTATCATACATGTAGACAACCTACATGGACGATGAGGTGGCAAAGAAACCCAGTATAATGGGTAATTTAATTTAAAATGTTACTCAATGCTATAATGGATAAATTTTGGAAAGTACGATGCCCTTAATAAAAAAATATTTCAAAAATACATTGATATAATAAGGAAAACTGAAAGTAAAATGCTATAATAAATAAGAAATTTTGTAAAAGTAGGTTGCAATTTTAGGCATTTTTTCTTTTTGTCTTAAAAAAGTTTCATGAATAAATGTTTCGAGGACACAGCATAATAAAGGTTTCATGAATAAAGGTTTCCTCACTTTCCTCCATTTCCTTCGTAATAAAGGTTTCGAGGACACAGCATAAGCCAAAAAAAAGCCCTTTAAAACCAATTATGTAGGTTTTCACACAAGTTGCTTGAGAATTCTCTATGGTGAAAGCCCTTTTTTCCAAGGCAAAAGCCCATCATAGATTGAAAGCAAAGGCAGCCACCCATCAGTGATCAACTGGCCCCAAAACACCCAACTCATGACCGATTGGGGTTTGGACCATTAAGCTCATAGAGATTAGTCTCTTCTAAGACCAGAACCAGTCAACTTATTCATGTCATGTGTGTGCATCTCTAATCAAAATACATCATAAATTCAATATGATAATCACACCATGAGTTTAAGCCAAATAGACACCAATATAGAAGCATTTCAAGAAATAAGCACCAACCATAATGAGTCAATACCTCTCATGGTGTTACAAAACCCTAAACCAAACCAAACAAACGAAGTCCATACAGAGTAGAGTCTGAAAAGGATGAGATGTTCACAAACCTTTCCTCTTCCCCCATCTGGCTAAAAAGACTGCCAAAGTTTGTGAAACACAAAAAAGACTACCAAAGTTTGCATTTTAATCCCTTCATTGGTCATTAATGCAAGAAATTGAAAACTTTTGGTGGTTTTCTTACATTTTCGTAACTACAAAAGTTGTTTCGTAACTAAATGACAAGTACAAAGGCTGTAAATCTAATTCACTGAATCGAAAAATTGAACTACAACAAAACCCCCATGGGTTTCTTTGGTTAACTTGTATAAATAAAGGTAGACAAAATTTTGAAAAGTTTCAGTTCTACCAGTTCGTGTACACGTTTCAATTAGGATAATAAAAGATCTAGTGCTTACTTGTTTCATGGACGTATCCTGACGCTTTGCCGGTTCTCCCCATTACGAATGTCTCTGGTGCGTTTCGGTTACCATTGATTTCAAGACCTTGAAAAGACCGAGATGCAAAAAACTCGACCCCTGATTTTGCTGTTCCCTTCACGATGATTTTAAGGTCCTTATCATGTGCCTGCAGTGCTGTTTGTGTCGTATTCACTAAAGCAAGAGCTCCATCTTCATCTTCATCATCAATATCTGGTTTATGCCACAAGTCAAATTTGCTTATGTAAGTTTCCTAGCCCTGTAAATGGGACAGATCTGGATATGATCTGATCCAACCCATTTGTTGTACTGTTTGGGCAAGACATTTCATCTTGTGATGAAATAAATCAGGCTAAAGTGCATCAAAATACAACGAACTTTCTCTTGGTTTCCATTTGGCGTACCATGAAATTTTCTCTCATTTAGGAGTCATTTACCAAACGCTTACCCGGTAAGCGTTTACTAGGTACTTACCTTATCGGATGAACATGGCTAACAACGAGAATCTTACCCAATAATAGCAATGGAAAGGACTGAGTCTTACCCAGTTAGTGAGGTGACGACTCTTACCCGGTTAGCGCTTACTGGGTAAATTATTATAAACGATGTTGTAACGAGAATCCTACCCAGTAAAGTAAAGGGTGCGTTTGGTTCGCAGGATGTTTTTGATGGAATGGAATCTATCAAAAGAATTTGATTTTGAAGGAATTGGAATGAAATGTTATGAGGTTTGACCACTTGTTTGGTTGAAAGACATTGGGATGGAATCTGTTAAAGGAATTGAAATCTATCTATTTGGGTCGTATAATGTAGCTTTGGAATTGGAATGAAATATCGGCAAATGACCAAAATACCCTTCTTCGAAAATTTTGAATTCGAAATCCAACTATTGTGGTTCAGATCGGTGGTGATCAGTGGTGGTTCAGATCGGTGGTGGTTGGCAGTAGTTCAGGCCGGCAGTGGTTCAAACCGATGGTGGTCGACAGTGGTTCAGGTGGGTGGTGGTTCAGATCAAGTAGGGAAGATGGGGACAATTTGTGTTTTTGAGAAAATGAGATGGAATGGAATTGAATTCCTTCTCAATCGTCATGGAATGACCAAATCCATGAATGGTGGAATGTGTGGAATTCAATTCCATTCCATATATAAACCAAACGCCTCAAAGGAATTTGGTCAATGGAATTGATCATTCCAATTCCTTCGAATTCCGTCAGAATCCTGCAAACCAAACGCCGTCTTGACTCTTACCGGGTAAGCGTATGGGTAACGTCCCCTTGGTGTAACAAACATTCAATTCTTTCCAAGTAAAAACTCTAATTTTGGTCCCTGAGGTTAGGGACTAAAAACTTTTTAGATACTGGATAGATTCATGCTAGGATTTGACGTGTATATCTAGAATTCAACTAAATTGGTCAGTCATACGGCGGTGAATCCGTTCCTGGCCTTGTATGCACCGGTGCTGGAAACAATTTTGTCTTCTCCATATTACTATATCTCTAGAGTCAACAAATTTTATATGAGGAACTACTGAACTCAATCACTTGTGGCCGTTACTCTTCAGTTTTCTGAAGTTTTAAAGTGGGACCTGAACAAGTGACTAAAGACCACTTTCAGAGCAAAATGAGAACTACAAGAATGCTTTATAGACTCGTCAAAGTCCAGTTCCCAATTTCAAACTTCACTAAGCCTCAAGGTCCAAAATTAGAGTTCACGCATTATTTTTATTGTGTACCCATTTTGACCGGTAATAGGTAGATTTTGTAACTATTGATAATGTGGATGTCAAATTATCAAGTTATATTGTACTTGAATATGTACAAAAATGTCACATCAAAATAAACTAATGCCACGTAGGCTGAAAGCTCATTTATCAGGTAAAATGGGAACAAAATAAGAAGAATTATACGTTTATACACTAGTAGGAAAAAAAAAGCATCATTACTCTAAATAGGAACTAATGCAAATTTGTTACATTTTGCCCGAATAAATTATCAAATAAATCAACCGATTTAAATGGATCAGCTGCATGGAAAGATTTAAACCCATCTAGACTAGATCCAATAAATGATCAGTATTAATGGTTACATTTATGACACAAATGCATTTATACATGTATTATACATGTTTCAGGTGTTCCGGCATTCTCCTATAATGGTATCATTCTTGTTTAAACCTCTCCATATATATACACACACATGTATATACACAGGACAACGGGGGTCCCGCCATACATAAAATTAGAAACTAAAACCACTGAGCACATTGTGGGCCGTCATAATTGATGTGGAGGCCTAGGTTAGTGTCATAAAGTTCAGAAGACATGCTTAACATAGAAGGCTGGATAAAAGTTGTGATGACCTATGGTCTACTGGACGGTTTTGAGCCTTTTGGCCCACAATATCGCGTTATACACAAAGGGACACCCTATAAAGGTATGCAGATATATATTATGTCTTCTGCGACTGCAACAACCCAATAAACAAACAATATTCGACCATTTTGTTATTAGCAAAGTACGTTGCTCATTAGCTGATCTGAAGATCTTTTGATTTTGTAAACTGAATTCCTTTTGATTTTGTAAACTGAATTCCTACTGCTTTTCAACCATCCAGAAATCTCTATTACGCTTATTTCCATATCTATGCGTCAGGTTGGTTCTGATTGCAAGCATTGCGGCACATGAGAAGCTCAAAAGCCTCAAATGCAATCATCGCTAGAGTTATTGCTATCTTGAGCTCGTTCTTGATGCAAGAAGTGAAGCTAAAAGAAAGCATGAAATACCTTGGAAATCAGGATCTTCTATGTATCCACCTTGAAGAAACGAAAATCGCGCTTCCTTTTCTGGGATTTCTACACCCACAGGAGTTGAAGCAGCCAAGTCCTGAAAATCCATTACGTATTTCCCCGTCCACTCACTTCCCCTGAACAAGGTAGCATGAGTACTTAAACTGGGATAAAACACAACCAGTATATGCAATGGATCATATGTATGTAGGTATGTGTATATCTGTGTGTATGTGTATACAAGCTTAAGAGGCAGGGGCTTGAAAATCTGCGGCATAAATGCCTCCAAACTTGTATCCTTTTAATTGTAAAAGGCCCATGCATCAGGAAGAAAGGTAATACAAGTGTAAAAGACCCATGGTAAATTCAGAAACGGCCGCAGTAGATACAATCAATTAATATCGGAGGCTTCAATCAAATAAAAGCATTTGTCACATACGACAAAAGGTGTTTTCCATACACCAAAGAACCACAGAAGGAAAGAAAGCCAATGGCTACATTTATCAATCAAAGTGATCACGAATGGTAATAGTGACAGGGTCAAACGAAAAGAAAATTGAATGAACTGGTAAGAGTTTAATACTACAAGTTGAAAGTGATAAAAGGACAGATTATATTGGTACCTGGTGAAAGCAAGAATAGCTTCAAAAGGGGTAATAACAGGAGCCAAAAATTCTTTGCTATCCAAAAGAGCAGTTTGTGCACACGAGATGTAGATGAAGACATCACACTGCAAATTTGGAACTCGTCATGAAACTTGTAGGCACCAAGTCCAGAAAAACAATTATCTCAACCATGATTATTTTAATTAAATTATGAACTGTAGTATTTTACTAATATTACTAATAGTATAGGGCCTAAAACAATAATTATTGTAACAAATACAAATAAAAAGTTAATCAAAACCACAACGGTTTATAAGGTAACCAACCATGACGGCAATAGAATTGATGCATTCAGCAACGATATTTACAAGGAGATTGTCAACTTCACCTCCGGAAAGTTAGCAAGTTTTGCAGGATTAGGTTTTCCCATGACCAGTGTGTAGGCCTTCTTCCCAGCCCTTGTAATCATCTCTTTTATTTGATGGATCACACTCAAATAGCCAGCTGCATATAGGATTCAAACAAAATAACAGCAATCTTCAAGCATGATGCATAGAAAGGCTGAGAATATGGTAACAAATGCCCAAATACTATAATGTTATGGCATTGCCAAAACTGAAAAGATGGAAGCTTTGACAACAAGAGGTGGGATCCCCACTACAGAGCATATGCATTAAAGAACAGGATGAAAATGAATGTTCATGCTGATACTACTGCCCAAAAGACCAAACAGAACATCATATATGAAAGGCAGCAATGGACATCATGATGCATCAACCACGCATCATTTGGCTTGACAAATGAGTGGAAAGAGAAACTAGAAATCCATTCTGTTTCATAAGCTTTTGACCACAGTATGTTACAACCATAAATTACCCATGCCACCCCAGAAACAAACAAAAGGAAAAACAAGAAAACATCAGAGCTATATACAAGATAAAACGAGAAAGAATCAGACTGTTGGATTATGTAACAACTGAAATTCATATAACCGTACCAACACCAAGTGTTCCCACTAATATTCCAACAATGCCAGCATCCTTTGCTTTCTCAACTAGGTAATATCTGCAAGAACATTATAAAGATGACATACTGCTCAAAGAACTAATAAGAGAACACAAAGGGAAGCCTTTTATGGGGAAAGAGGATATAGTTGAGCAATAGAAAGTACCTACGCTTGAGAATCCTTCGTTGTTGAGAAGTATCCGCTAACAACTGATTTTCTGTTGCATCGTATCTGACTGAGACAATTGCCCCAAGAAAAGAAAGGAAGAGATAATTAGAGAAAGAGAAGAAAGAAAGAGAAATAGGTAATCTTCTAAAGGAAAAGAAATATATAAATATCAGACACAGGGATTAATAAGTAAGTGAACAACATCAAAATAAACTATCAATGCAGTAAGTACCTATTTCACAACCATTGAAAGTAAGTACCACATTCGCAAAAGCTGAATTATCAGGGCCAATCCAAAACAATGAGTAGTCTTCCATACTGCAACCCTCTTCTAAACTCCAAAGCAATCCCCCAATCCTATATGTTTTTCCGACTGCATCACCACAACCTCCATTGCCAGTAGAGCTGCTAAGCAATCCTGACTGCCCATTAGTTTCAGAACTTTTTTTTGGAATCATAGCTTGGCTAATAACATCCGCAAAATGCAGTTCAAATCTGGATGTGTGCCCACATAAACTTGTTTTTTCAACCATTGATGCTTCTATGACATCTTGTAATGCATGTCCATACTCCAATCCAAAGAGGACCTTCATTCAGTATGAACAAAAATATGGATAAATGCCAAGACATGTCCATTAACATAACAAAAACTTTTACCATGTCTAGTAACACCTCAAATCAGTAAAAGGTCAGCATTGAAAGAGCATTCAGTTTTCTTTCCATATCTTTTTAACCAGTAAAGATGGAAACCATTAAAGAACTAGTATAAATTGATGGAACAAAGTCAAAGCACAACGGAACAAGTATCAGATGGTACATACATGTATTAGTTCGGCATAACAGCCTGAAAGATCAGTGACTTTAGCTACTATTTCCATAAAAAAAAAACTTTTAAATTGTTTTAAAAAAGCGATCATAACTTATATCTTAAAAGAAATTCTGAACTTATGAGTCCTTTTTTTCCATTTTTAAGAGAAAAGGGAAGCGGGTGTTTCCTCACAGTTATAAAAACATATTGATGATGCATTCTGGAAATTGGAAGTAGAAGCCTAGTATAATATTCCATTTGTCCATTTTTCTTATTGTTCACATTACTCTACAAACTAAATTTTCAGCCCTACAAAAAAATTTATTTAGCATGAAGTATTACAAGTAGACTGCAGAATTGTTGATTCAATCTCTCAACCATATTGCATTATTTTACCAATTTAGCTACAAGCTCCATATGCAAGAAACAAAATTCATCTTTAAAGTCCACATCAACGAAATTACTTTCACAATCTTCATGTTTTTTAATACAATCTTAAATAAACTATCAAAGCATATTACATGAAATTCTAGAATAAACACAAACATTATACTTCATATTATCTTTGTAATTTATTTGACGCTAAGATAAGTACAAATTACTTCTTTCATGAACCTTTATGCATAATGCTTTTTCGAATTCTTAATAAGGTTTTAGTCTATTAGTTCTATACAAGTTATTTGGGCGCTCCATCATTACTAAATTGTATATAGACTTTTAGAAAATTTGCATATAAGAAGAAAGGGTTCTGAGTAATTCAAATAACACCTAGTAGGTCCCCGCATAGTGTGAAATTTTTGGTTGTCAACCAAAGAACTTAGCAGTTGAAAGTATTAAAGATATGAACCTCTGAAGCCCAATGTACAGAATGCCTACAACATGTTAAAAATGTAAAATGAACACAATGACGATCTAACCATAAACAACTGGATATAGCTATAGAGTTAATACCACTCCGACTCCCAACTTCTATAAAATCTAGACCAACTCCCTATACAAGAGTTCATTGCCTGATCCTAATGTACAAGGTGCAATATCTTTGCATGAACAATGAGTCTTCTATGATAGCCTTTTATACTGTTGTGTATAAATACACTGCAAAAAAGAAATCCACATTCCACTTTTGGCCCTTCCAATAGTAAAGGAACGCCCATAAAGGAATACGGTACTCTGTTATTGGGACATTGTCTGAGATCTGCTTTCATACCAACTCAAGATATTCTTATTGGACTCTATGCCGTAACAAGCAGAAACGACAGGGTATTATGTAAACCTGGTCAATCAACAACTCACTGAGATCTCTTTATTTGCCCACTCTGATTAACGATGTGGAAACAAGAAAAGAAGGAATGCCAGCAGGGACGGACCCATAAATTTTTTCAAACGGTGGCACCATTCGACTATAAGAAAACAATTTACGGAAAAAAATGGGATATGCATTTGAAATGGATGTACGAGTTATGATATATATCATGAGTGATACGGAAAAAACTAACGGAAAAAATTTCAAACGGTGGCGCCAATTGACTAAGAAAACGACACTAACAGGATTCGAACTCGAGTCTAGGGTGGAAGAAAAGCCTAGCAAACCAACTCTACCAAAGAAAACATGTTCTCGTTGTAGTTTCAAAATACATACGGTTGCACACAACAAATTAATACGGTTGCACCTTTCACGAACCTAAAAATTTTTACCCTTCGATGGAGGAATAATACGATGGCACCATGCTGGGTCCGTCCATGAATGCCAGGATCCAATATTTTGGTCATATGCTATTATGGATCTTTGACCAGATCCTCCATAAGACCCCTATCGCTTTGCTCCTTGAACTCATATTAGCAAAGATGGAGAAGAAAGAACCAAGCAGGCATACACATGGATGGAATCACAAACTTTTCCAAGAAGTTCAACCTTTTTGACTTTAAAAGTTGCATAACCACATCATTGATCTATCGGCATTATTCTTTAATTTAAGAGAGTAGTAAAGCGGAAACCCTATTTGAGAACCCCCACATACACCTTTCACTGCAAAAATACTGAGATCCCTTGAAGGATGCGGGTATTTTGTGACGAAGATCTGAATGGGCTTGAAATGTTGTAGGCAAGCTATATGTATCTACACCGAAGATGAAGGAGGACATAGATTCCATAGATATATAACCAAAGAGATATGTCCACTACCATGCTAGACAACAACAATATTTTACACGACAAGTTCTCTATACATAAACCATAAATGCCCCTTCCATTGACTAACAATGAAGTTCTGTTTTTGTATATTTTCAACCATTACATACATCTCCATGGTCAAATTGCATAAAAGAAATTTACCAAGAAATAAATTATAAGGTAACTAGGTGTAATAAGGGAGCACTTTCTGAGAAAAGCAGCTCTGAGAAGAAAAGCAAATAAAAAATCATAAAGAATAACCGAAGTTAGTCAACTTACAACTACAGGCTTCGAACTAGACAATGCATAACTACAAAGGTGTTTGGCGCAATAAGATGCATTTATTGGAGCTTTCCCAAAAACAAAGAATGCAGGAAGATTCGATGTCCTGTAATGAAGAGAAAACAAAACAAAACAAAACATGAAGAAATCAAAGAAAACTCAGTTTAAAAGCACTTGCTCTAAAAAGTGAAAGAAATAAATAGACATATCACGCAAAGCATCAAAAAACCTACTAAAACAAAACTGGCAATAAGGTAATGTACTCACGGGCTGAGACAGGTGTGTCCATAATGAATGACACAGTCAGCATTAATGTGAGATGCACCAACTTCATCAACACAGCAGCTACCATACGTAGTATCAGCCATTACATACAACCCAATTTCCTTCACATCATTTTCGCCTTCCCAACGTGACCGAAGCTCCCTACGTAGAGCACCTACCACACCTGTTGAGTCCTTTAGTAGCTCATCTGGAAACTAACCATTAGAGAAAAATTAGTTTCATATTATATAACAAAAAACAACAAATTGGAATCAAGATAGTGCTGAATTGCCTTCAAGGTTAGTCTTGTGGCACTAGAAAATAATTATCAGTAAGAACAACATCATCACTCAACTCAAATACAAGCAAACACAAAAATTATTTAATGCACAGCCATAATTTTAAAACTACTGACACTATTAAATAACCAAATTTATCAATGGTTCTAAACTTATTTATATGGCAAAACTCACAAAACACTGGTCCATCTGAATTTGAATTTGAAAACTACTGGTTCTAGAGTTCAAAAATCAAGGTAGCTTCTAGTTCTTTAACGAAATCATGGAGAGCTCCTTTAACTTCTTTGAAGCATTGTTTCCCTTGCTTCACTCTCTAGGGTTTTGTGTAAACAATTAAAAGACTAGAAATTAAACACAGCAATAGAATGAGCACCTGTAAAGCAACCCGCTTGAAGTTATGACTGCGAATGAAGGTGGCAACGCGTGAAACTTCGTATTTGGATTCGAAATCCATTGGAGAGGAAGAAAGAAAAGAACAGACCTGAAAACAGTTAAAACCTCGAACTACTTCATTTCATATGTAAATATATACGATGTGAATAAACCGGTATGGCAGGCCCAATACTCTGAAGCGTAAAAAAAAGGTATGGCAGGCCCAATACTCTGAAGCGTAAAAAAAAGGTATGGCAGGCCCAATACTCTGAAGCGTAAAAAAAATTATAGTTTTGTAATCTTCTTGTTTAGTCTCACGTTTATGTATCGACATTTATTTTTACTGTCGATATAGGCGACCACACCAAAGCTGCATCCAGGGGGGCCTGGCCATGTGCTGTCCATACGGCTGCATCCAGGGGGGCCTGGCCATGTGCTGTACGTACGGCTGCACAGGACATTAAAGCCTAAAGGGGTATCAAGTTGACATCTATTACTAGTTTTGGGTTTAATAATTTTGGAATTGTACAACTGAGTTTTAACTATAAAAACAAGCCTAATACCTAGTAGTGATTAATATTGAATGCACATCGTGAACCGGTTAACGTCATCATTCCAACAACTCAATCTAAATTCTATTGTTCTTCAAAGTTCAACTATTTCGATTTTTAAGACATGGAGTTCTCTTTCTAGCCGATTAACGGTCATGAAATTAGATTCAAGAAATCAAAGATGGAAATCTAGAATGACTGACTTCTACCATTGTTGAACTTACCGAGTTGTTGTATAAGTCATATTATGATTTATGAATATTTAAATCTTCTTGCAAACAAAAAATCTAAATTTCTAACTGATTATTATAAAGTTAGGTCATGTGGCCGTGTGGGTTACCGACCTACTAGACTAAGGCTAAGGGGCTTTTGTCATTTTGATAATAAATCTTCATCTTGCATATTGAAATATCCGAGAATTGAAAATTTGAATGCACATGAGCACATCACTCTATCAACATAGCTGGAGCACACTACACAACATTAATAACATATATGGTGATATTGCCTTAATTATTTGGCACTTGTTCTTTGCAATGCACAGTAACATAGATTATGAGTTTTACAATTTATTATTGTTCTTTTGACTTTTGTTTATTTTGAGGTTTGGCAACGTTCGACTTGCATGTGTTAAGCATATAGCTAGTGTTCCTTCTGAGCCAGCCCGGTGGATACGATGGGGCTCGTCTTTAATGAAGCTAATCTTAAAAATGACATGGATAGGATTTCTTCTCGTTAGATTTAGGGGTTGTCTGATTGGTTTTTTATTAAGTTCTATATGGATAAAATTGTTTATATGAACTAATTTGTTTGTATAAGTTGGAAAAGTTTTTGTTTTGGATAGTTTTTTCACAGATGTAAGGAGTGTTTTTTTAGTTGGAAGGGATATGTTTGGAAGAAAAAAAAAACTTGGTTTTATATATAAAACTTTCCCTAAAAGCTTACTGAATAAGTCACTTTCTATATATTAAGCCGCTACGAAACAATCATGCATAGTTGAACGAATAATCTGTTAGTTCCAATAAACTTATTAAGCTGCTAACAGATAGGCCCTTAGTCAATTGTTCTTGAAGTTCCAGACGACCTACAAGGTTGTAACGAAATAGTTAAATCATACATACTCAAGGGAGTCACAGCAGTCTAGAGTACTATCCTTGGGTCAAAAAGGGGGATATGGCGAAATTCATGATTAACATTCTTAAGGAGTTGCCAAAAAATACTTTTCTTCCAGAGATCAGTAAAGGACGAGCATCTCCAGATAGTGTGCACAATACTTTCCTTATTACTCCCATTACATCTATAACAAGCATCTGAAATATCGACACTGCTACAATACAATAAGCTATTAGTAACAATCCGAGAATGACTCAGCATTCAGACAAAGATTTTGATTGTTTGCGGAATTCTCAGCTTCCAAATGCGGTTCTACCAAGACCTTATGGCTGTTAAATTTGAAGCTTCAGTTGCATCCTTTAACCTCATCACAAGAATATAGTAGCTTCGGACACTGTACTCCCCATCTTTTATGTAATTCCAAAGAATTTTGTCTTCAAAATCAATAGGCCCATTAGGTGACTTTCTAATAAGGTAGGCATCCTCCTCATTAAACATGTTCCTGATGAACGGTGCATCCCATTCTCTATTTCCTAATTTTAGATCAATGACATGCATGTTGTGAGGAATCTCAAGTTTGTCAAACACCTTGAAAGTTGTAAGTATGGGAATCCATGGATCTTCAAGAATTTTAACATTATTGCCATTACCAATCCTCCAAGGCTAACCTTTTAGAATGATTTCTTTACCCCACATAAGACTTCTCCAAAAGAAAGATCCATTTGAACCCGTTTAGTTTCCAAAATCCTACAATTTGGAAAATAGGAAGCTTTCAACACCCTCGCACATAAGAAGTTTGGTCTCCAAATCTGTTTTGCAACCAATGCTTGGTTGAAAACTTCTAGAGTTCTAAAATCCAAACCACCCCTCTCCTTAGGAAGATCCATAAAGGACCCCATTTGTACCAATAAATTTTCCTAGATTGCTTTGAGGAACCCCACTAGAACCCGACTGCCATACTGTGAAGGCTCTTAGACTCATTGGAAGCTTAATACAACTAATAGTGTAAGTGGGAATGGCTTGAATGATTGTTTTTATGAGCACCTCTCTCCCTCCCATTGAGAATATAGACGATTTCCAACCTCTGAGTTTATTCCATACTTTGTTTTTTTATGTGGTTGAACAACTCTTTTTTCCTTCTTCCAGCAAAAGTTGGTAATCCCAAATAGCTTCCATAATTATCCACAATCTTAGCCCCAAGGATATTGGCAAGAGCCTCCTTTAAGTTGTTCAACACAGACTTACCAAAAGACATATTTGATTTGTGAAAGTTAACAATATGACTAGAAGCTGAAGAATACAAGGCTAAGATATTTTTCAAACACTTACATTCCTCCTCATTGGCATCAATGGAAACAGGACTATCGTCGACAAAAAACAAGTGAGAAATGGAAGTACCACCCCTGCCAAATCAAAGACCGTGCAACCTCCCCTCTTCCTCGGCTCCTTATATAAAGCAAGAAAATGCTCGAACACATAATAGGAAAAGGAAAAGGAAAAGGAAAAGGAGATCACCTTGTCTTAAGCCTTTCTCGAGGTACACCTTCTCTTTGATCTCACCATTCACTAAGAAAGAGAGTTTGATGAATGTGATGCATCCCATTTTTTTTTTTGGATCCATTCCTTGCAATAGCCTAATCTTTCCATGATGTCTTCTATGAACAAGGGCGAACGTGGCTTTAGAGGGGGGACAGTTGACAACCATAAAAAAATTTCTTCGATTAAAATCTTTTTTTAAATCAACTTCACTAACCGACGTCCATTAAAAAATTATTTTGACCCCCAGTTCCTAAAAAAAACCAAACCCAATTAAAAAAATATATATTTTAATGTCCACCGTCCACAGACAAAAAAGCCCAAGAAGACAAGGACTCTTTTAAGAAATTTCTTTTTGATTATTCGTTTACTGCTTTCTTTCTTTGATTTTATTTTTACTGCCTCCCTTTTTACTATTCACTTATCACCTCCACTCTCCAATACACGACAACACCAACAAACCATCTTATTTCTGACTGACCTCATGCAGCGGGCCTTAGGTATTTTTTTTTTTTTGGTTTTTTGCTTTATATTTTTGGGTTATTTGATATTGTTTCTTCAATATTATATTGTTTATAAATATTAAGGATGGTTAAATATTTAAAATTGTAATCTTATTTAGTTATTTATTGAGTTAGGGTTTGTTGAAAATATTTTTTTTTATTAATTACTAGGGATTGTTTATTGTTTAGTAGATTATTAGTTTTTCCTTACATTATGTTTTATGAACTTTAATTGTTTTTTTTAATAAATGAACTTTAATTGTTAATCATAGGGAATCGTTAATGGTTTATCAAATATTAATGAGGTGTAATTGTTGGTTGTTTTGTTTGGTTGCTAATTGCTTATTGTGTTATGATTTAACTAGAAAAATATAATGGAATTTTTTCTTAAAAGAAAAGCACCATCATCCGAAACGGGTAGCGATCGTTCTATTCCCTAACCTAGGTCTACTTCTTCGGTGCATAGGAAAACTGATTTGAATGATCTTTCTTAGGATCCATCCAAACGGAAAAAGATCAAGGAGTATCACCCTAATTAAAGAGATAAAATAAGACGAAAATATTTAATTAGAGGACCTTGTTAGCCACGTGGTCATGTCTTTCCAAGAACTAAGGGAAGGCGAATTTGCCCGGCTTGGTTATGATAATTGGTTAGAGTATACTGTAAAAGCGAATAAAGCTTTTTGGTTGGTTTGTTACTTATTTAGAGAGAGTTTTGTGAAACAAGGTGGGAGTGATGCTTTTGTGAGGGAAGGTTTTATAGTTGGAATAAAATGGATAGATTTGGTCGTCATGTAGAAGACGTTAGTTCTTTTCACAATAGCACTCACGAACTGTGAAGATTTATTGAGACAAGATAAATTGATTTTTGTGGCCTTTCATAAATAAGATGATATTATGAAGAAAGAGCATCAAATACGACAATGCTTCAATTGATGCTATTAGATTGGATTTGCTTGGTACCTGCATAGAGGCAAGTAACAAACATTATGTCGTCTACTAGTTGTGAGATATAAAAGTGACCCAATTATGCTTCTGTAATTCTTGACATCCACTAGCTTACCAGAGGGTCAGAATCAAGTTTTGATCCAATGGCAATTGGAGTTTTCATTGGAGTTGAGTTGTGAAGTTTGTATTTCTTCAAAATATTAGAGACATACTTGGCTTGGTTTATGAAAATCCATTCTTGAGTTTGTTTGACTTGAAGCCCTAAGAAGAATGTTAATTCTCCCATCATACTAATTTCAAGCTCACTTGTCATCAACTCAGGAAACTTGTCAGAATAGTTCTGATTTATAGAACCAAGGATAATGTCACACACACACACACACACACACACACACACATATATATATATATATATACAAGAAGAAATTCACTTTTATACTTCTTGAAAAACAAAATTGTATCAATTTTAC